TAAAATGACTATAGTCAATAAAAAAAATGTTAAAAAAAGAAAAAAATTTTGCCTGAGTTCTATATTACTACTTTAAAATTTGAACATTTATTTCTTAGATTTTTCTTCATAAGAATAATGGAACAAAAAAGTTAAGATACAAAAGCAGGTATTTTCATGAACTGTTAGTTCATTAGAAAATCAGGCTACAGTTGTACCAACAAATAACTCTCCTCTCCTTTTTCTATATTCTAGTAACAAAGTTTTTAGTATTTTCTTGTCTATCCACTTGTCTCAGACTACATTATTCTCTCCTCATATTCATTGATAAATTCCTACACTGAATTACACCCTCCTCAATTTCTTCTTAAAAAGTGTATAATTAAAACAAAGAGCCAATATTATACTTAATGAAAAAATATATGGATAATCTCCTTAAAAATAAAAATAAGGTGGAAGGGGGTGGAAAGGGATAAATTTGGAGTTTGAGATTTGCAGACACTAACTAATATATATAAAATATATAAACAACAAGTTTATACTGTATAGCATAGGGAACCATATTCAGTATCTTATAACCTATGGTGAAGAAGAATATGAGAACAAATGTATGTATGTTCCTATGTGACTGAAGTATTGTGCTGTACATCAGAAACTGACAGAACATTGTAAACTGACTGTACTTCAATACAAATATATTTAAAAAAAAGAAAAAAGATAAGATGACCTGTGACATTGCTCCTATTAAAGACAAACATTTGAAATTATTATGATTGCTATGAGAATTATTTTATGTATTTTATATATGTATGCACAGAAAATTCATAAAAATATATCTCAGATTTAGGTACATAAGAATTTTTAAATAGCAGTCTTACTTAAATGCATTTCTACTCAATGCTAACATGCAGGAAAACATATTAAAAATTGCTTTTGTAACTGTAAAGTAATTAAATAATCTAGAGCTAATTTAATTTGAAACTAAATTAAGGTTGGATAAACTTAGTTGAGGAGTTAAAATTTAGCAAATATGGTAATATTTTCTAATCTATTAATAATAGTTCCAGTGGGATGGTATTATCAAATGCTGGCTCCCCATAAATACCGACCAAACAACCTGTCGATAAAGTGAAACCGAGTTCATTGCTTATTGCAGTAAGGGAGAAACTACCTTAATAGAGTCTATTCAGGTCTTGTGCCTATTTTTCAACTGGGTTATTTTCCTATTGTTGAGTTTTGAAGATTCTCTATATACTCTGAATACAAGTCCTTGTTGTACATGGAATTTAAAAATGTCTTTTCCTAGTCTGTGATGTCTTAACTTCTTAACAGTGAGTTTTGCCATACAAAAGGTTTTAATTTTGATGAAGTCCAATTTATTAATTTTTTAAAAATGGATCAAGTGTTTAATGTCATGTCTAACAATTCTCCACTTAGCCCTGGGTCCTGAAGATTTTTTCCTATATTTTCTACTAAAAGTTTATGTTTTGTATTTAGATAGACGACCTGTTTTGAAATAGTGTTTGTATCAGGTGCAATGTTTAGGTTCAGATTCTTTTATTAAATATGGATATAGCTATAGATATCCAACTGATCCAATACACATTTGCTGTTTTTTGTTTTGGGTTTCTTTTTTTTTTTTTGTCCTTTTGTATCTGGTTTATTTCACATAGCATATTGTCTTCCAGCTTCACCCACATTGGGTAGCTTTGGTCTCACACATGTGCGTGTCCGTTCTTGGCCAGAGCCTCACATGGACCTTTCTATAAATCTCTGGGGAGCTCTCTTTTTGTGAGTCTCCTCCCTCAATTAACTTGGATTCCTGGGCTTTTGGGGGGAGATGTCCTCCTCCTTGTGCTGCATTCTGAAAACTGTTCCTGGGCAATAAGCTGGCAGTTTGTAGAAATCACTGTGTTTGTTTTCCTTCTCCCAGGTAACACAATCCTGTATTGTCTGTTGTGTGATATTTGAAAACTGTTGTCTCACATATTTTGTTCAGTTTTCTAGCACTTTAAGACAGAAGGATAAATCTGCCACCTGTTAGTTTATCTTGACTGGAAGTAGAAATCTCCAGTGTCCAATACACGTTTGTTGAAAGACTATTCTTTCTCCATTGACTGTAGTATGCTCCTTTGTCATAAATCATTGGTCGTACTTTGTGGACCTATTTCTGGACTATTTCCATGGGTCTATATGTTTACCCCTTTGCCTCTAAAGGCTTGTCTTGACTACTGTAGCTTTACAGTAAGATTTTAAATCAAGTAGTGTGATGATGCCTCCAATTTTATTCTTCTTTTTCAAAATCATTTTAGCTACTCTAGCTCCTTTGCCTTTTCTTAAAAATGTTAGAATCAGCTTGTGTATATTCACCAAAGGAAATCCTACTGGAATTTTGATTGGAATTGTGTTAAATCCATAGATCAATTAGGGAACATTCGCATATTTACTATGTCGAGGATCCCAATTCATGATCGTGGTATGTCTAGTTCTTTCAACAGCATTTAGGAATTTTCAGCATATAAATAATGTACATATTTTGTTAGAATTATACACATACTATATATATATATGGAATTTACAAAAAATTTTCCTAGTTTCTGGCATCTCACTCTCTTAACAGTAAATTTTGCAACACAAAAGGTTTTAATTTTTATGAAGTCCAATTTATCAATATATTATATTGATATATATATAAAATATATATATAAATATATCATGATATTCTCTCATTCTAATGTTGGTAATTTATGTCTTTGGGTTTTTCTTATCAGCCTTGCCAGAGATTTGTAAGTTTCATTGCTCTTTTGAAAGAACAAGTTTTTGGTTTCACTAATTTTCTCTACAGCTTTTATGTTTTCAATTTTGTTTCTTTCTGCTCTTATGGTTGTTTTCTTCCTTCTCCTTAAATTGGGTTTATTTTGCTCTTCTTTTTCTAGTTTCTTAAGGTAGAAGCTGAGATTTTTAATGGGAGATCTTTTTTCTCTTCTAAGATAGAGATTTTTTACTGCTATAAATTTCTCCTTAAGTAGTACTTTAGCCGCATCTCACAAATATCGACACCCCATATTTGCATTTTCATTCAGTTCAAAGCATTTTCTAAATTCCTTTGAGACTTCCTCTTTCATTTTTGGTTTATTTAAAAATGTGTTGTTTAATTTTCAAATATTTTTAGATGGTTCAGTTATATTTCTGTTATTAATTTCTATTTTGATTCCATTGTTGTCAGAGAATATACTTTTTGTGATTTCAATTTAAATATGTTCAGCTTTGTTTTATGATACAAGATATGTCTATTTTGGTGAATGTTCTAGGTGTATTTTAAAAGAATGTGTTTTCTACTGCTGTTGGATGTAGTGTTTTTTAAAATATCAGTTAAATCCAGATGGTAGATGGTATTCAGTTCTTTTATCTCCTTGCTGGTTTCTGCCTACTAGGTCTATTGCTTACAGAGAGGAGCACTGAAATCTCCAACTGTCACTGTAGACTAATCTATCTGTCCTTTCAGTCCTGTCAACTTTTGTTTCATGTGTTGTGAGATTCTGTTGTTGAATGTATGTCCTTTCAGGACTGTTACGTCTTCTTGGTGATTTGACCCTTTTGTCAGTATATATATTTGTCAGTATCTTTCTTGATCCTTGGTCAACTTTTTTTTCTTTTGCTGTGAAGTCTACTATGATATTAATATAGCTACCACAGATTTCCTTTGATTAATAGCTGCATAGTATATCTTCTTCTATTTTTTACTTTTTAGCTACTTAGATCTTACATTTGAATTGAGTAGAGACAGCAAGTAATTGAACAGTGTTTTTCAATCCATTCTGATGAATTGTTTCTTAATTGGTGTATTTTGGCCATTTATATTTGATGTCAATATTGATTTGTTTGGATTTATGTATACCATTTTATTATTGTTCTTTTCTGTTTGCTCACTTTATCTGTCGCTTTGTTTCCACTTTTCACTGCATCTTTGGCTTCTCATTACTTCCTCTAGTTGGTTTTAAGTGTCAGTAAAACTTTAGCATATGGCAAGTTAAAAATTGATGCACTCATCAGATTTGGTTTGGTAAACAAAATTTAGGTAATTACGTTAAACAGTATTTTCATAAAATATTTGATATGTACAAAGTAAATAAATACTCACAAGAGTTTCTCCTGGTTTACACATCTTTACCTGGAAAAGGTCCCCCAAGAGCAAGTCTATGGGTTTATCTTTGTAGAACATTAAAAAAAAACGTATGAAGTCAGTTAAGTCCTCAGATTTGAATAGCTTTCCTACGGAGAAAAAGTAAACAATACAAATAACCCTTGAGTGTTTACACTTATATATCATAACCCTTATATATAACTGTTCATTCCATTAACATGGGAAAAGAGTAAAAATTATTAAAACAACTAATCCTATATTTCTTAGAAATAAAGATTAAAGCATTAATGAAGTTGGAGAATAATGAAGCAAAATAATATAATGGTTTCAGTATTAAAAATTACCACTTCTGGGTGGAAAAAGTGTGAAACAAGTTTAGAATAGTGAATACTCTCTGAAAATCAACTTTGAAAACTAATGAAGATCAAGTGTAAGATATGTAAATAAAATGGCAACTATAGGAGCTATAATCTTTTACTCAGTTTTTCAGAAACTGTGAATTGTAAAGTGACTTTTGTAGAACTTTATTAGTCTACCACATTTTTAAATTTTAGTACTTAATTTTGATTACAGAGTTCTATCATTATTTGAAAATTATTTTATAAGAATGTTATTTTTCTTTTATATTTATGATTCTTAAATATTTACTACATTTTAGGGTATTATTTCGTTACATCCAATTATTTATCTCTAAAATATTGCCTCCATAATTGTAAAATAAAGTTGGAGGCATAGTAGGTTGGAGGTGAATGTTCACTTTAAAGTAAACAGGGTGGAACACATTTAGCCATTAAATAAACGTGATAGTAGGATGTAAGCAGTTTCATTTTTTTTCACTAAGACTTCAGTCTGTCTGAGTCATCTGATCAAGTGCAAGGCTGTATTTGAATTTTTCTGCACCCTTTTATATAGTAACCAAAGCAAGTGACATAATGATAGAAATAGGTGACTTAATATTTATGTTTTCTTCACCTGCTGTCAGCATTCTGAAAATTCTATTTAGCAAGCTCAAATCTCTGGAAAATGTTAAATAACAGTACTGTTATTATGATAACCAAGAAAAAAAGCCTTTGTAAATAAATGCTTAAATAAGACTTCAGTATCACATTATGTTCCTTGTTCAGTGTGCTCTTGTGATGTGCAGAATGTGAATATTCTCCATCTTTCTGGTACCTGACTTTGTGCAGAAAAATAAAAGGAATTTAAAATTCTGAAAGTAATACATCAATAAAATTATTACCTCTCCAAGCTTTTCAGCAGGTATTACTGTTACCTAGAATTTTTCTTATTTTAACCAAAGCTGAGAAAAAAACAGACTTTAAGTCTTTGAGTTTCAGTATTTTCCTATGTAAGACAGAGAGAAGTACATCTGAGTCACTGTGGACAAGTGTGCGAGGCCCATGCTGGTATGTAACATGTGGTAGGTAGCTACTTTAGGTTTTTGTAACATGTGAATATATGTCAACCTGCTTATTTTTACTGTCCATCTAGAAAAAAAATTTGGTTTAAAAATACATTTTCTGAAATTCAGATCCGTGAATCTGATTTCACTACTAAAGTAAAAGTATCTTTATAGAAATCATGCCATTCCTTGCCATTTAGTAATAAACTCTCTGGTAAGTTCTTAAGAACTTAAGATCACTGTGTTCTAAAAAACTTGACCCCACAAAATAGATCCACTGCTTACCTATAAATCCAAGAATTGAAAACTCAATGTAAAACCAATTCTTTGAAGTGATTTTATGCACAAAATCTGTGATTTTTGTAAGGTACATCTTTTTAGCTATAATACCATCTTCTAGCTGGAAAAAAAACACAAAAAGGCGTTAGTACCTTTGATGCTTCCATTGAACAAACTGTTAGCTTCAAAATTGAAAACACTTTCAATAGAATACACTGGAAAATGTCTTTATGAGGTAGAAGGTCGATTTCTAGTTCACTTCATTGAGGGAATTTCCTGTTAGTCAATTGTCCTTTTCTGATTCTGAGACCAGAGATTATCTGTTTCTTTCCTAAGTACTAAAAAGTAACAGGTAATCTAAATTCTCTTTGGGAGAGTCTATCTGAACCATTTTCATCCTCACAAATACTTGAGTTTCTAGCATACGACTCACTGGCTTTACGTTTAGATGACGGGTGCCATATTGTAGTGCCAGATACTGTGCTTGGCAAAGAGGTGACAAAAGGGAGCTAGCAACATCATCTACAACTAGCTGGCTTGAAGGACGGAGCCAGTAAGCCCAAAAACAGTCCTCCACAAGAGAGATGGGGGAAAGGGAAACTAGGATTTTCTTTTTAACATTAATACATATTATGTGGAATCTATAGATTAAGAGGGCCTCCTAAATGATTCAGGAAAACGCACAAGTCCCCGGGCACAACACCAGGGCACAAAACAGAACTTGTTGTTTCAAAATGGGAAGAGTACATTGGCTGGACCTCACGTTTCAGTTCCATTGCCACTAACTAGGAATCAAAGGGGGTTTCTTCTTCTCCCAGTAAAGGAGAAGACCTGGCTTCAGGCCTTTTCCCAATCCCTCTCTCTATTCTCCAATGACACTCTGCAAACTTTTCTCACAGCCGCACACTTTCTCATGTAGTGAGGTACATACTTCGTGTTGGGAAACATAGTGTTGTTATTTAACAATATGCAGGAATGTAGGGTGTACAAATTATACATAATTGATTTATTTCACAGATACAATCAGGCACTGTAGAACTGCATTACTCATGAAATGTGGTAGTGCAGGGTAGCAATGATAAGCATATATACTGTCTGACATACAATAAGTGCTCAAAATATGTTTGTTTAATCTAATATACTTGCAGGTAGAGAAATGTAAGCAGTACAATTTCTATTTTTTTCTAATTAAATAATTTCTTTTCAGTTTACTTCAGGTAACAATAATTTCCTCTATTAATAGTGACCCAGCAAGAAGATTAATTTTAAGATTCTTTTTGGCATTTTAATATAATGAATATTTTCTGTTTTCTGAGTACAAAGTAAGTGGAGGAAAACAATGAAGAAGGAAAGAATTGAAGGAGAGAGGGAGAACATAATACTTCTACTTTAAATTATATATATAACAAGATCTTACCTGTAAGTAATACATGGCTTTAGGCTGGGCATACAGCATCAAAAAACAAAAATCCAATACTTGTTTGATTTGCCAACTAGAGATAAGCAATAAAATCTGTTAATACTTTTCATTATTATTTTTATTTATTTATAAGCACACTTCAGTAATTAAAAACATAACTTTTTTCCACACTTGACTAACAGAGAGTACTACCTACATTAAGTGAAATTGAATACATTACACTAAAAAGTTATACTAGAAGGCTTCCCAAATTTATTCAGTGGACAGTGTCTGCCATTGCTAGAATGGGATAAGCACAATCTATTTATTTTGTGTTTTGGTTAGTTAATTTATGATCTCTATAATAAAGTTAACATTCTTCCTGATCTTAGGTCTTGTTCAAATGAAAATATAAAGAAATGTCCTTCTAATTTAATACTAAGCTAGATACTAGGCCAGGTCCTGACAATCCAGAGAGCAAAGCACAGTGTAGTTCGTGCTCTTCTGGGTCTCATAATCTAGCATGAAAGACAGAAAAACCATAAAATTGGAACAATTAGATAAGTGCTAGATAAAGACATTGACAGTGGTGAGTTACAATAAGATGGGGAGGATGGAGCAGAAGGAAGTAGGGCATTCGGTGTAGAGGAGCGGTGTTAAAAAGCACTCACATGTGAAGGAGCATACCACCTTGGGTTCAGAGCACCAAGAGATGATGGAAAGGAAGCTGGTGATGGTAAGGTCGGCTGAGTCCAGATCATGAAATGTCTTTTATGATATGCAGGAAACTTTGGAATTGCTTTCATACGAAAAAGGATTTTTCTGGCTACAGTATGGAGAATGACTTGGAGGAGAGGCAAGGCTAGGATCAAGGCAAGTCAATAGATCTTTAATGGGCTGAACTAAGTCTGAGGTAGAGGAATGGGGATGAGAAGAATGACATAGAGAAAGATTTTTAAAATAGAAATGATGATAGAGACGAAAAGAGTAGAAGGAAAAACGAGGATCTAGGATGTCTCCCAGCTTTATGACTCTAAAAACTGGGTATAATACAGGTCATTAATTAAAAGCAAAACAAAACCCTTAAAATATTTCTAGATTGACATACCATTTATATTTAAAACAACAACAGTACTAATAAGTTTCCTGGGATAAGACCTTTTCCTGAATCTTAACATATTGCTCTATTAAGTTCTGAGGAACCAAATTATTATACTTCTTGTAACACATACCACATTTCTAACCAAACGACAGCACTCCTTTGTATATGTATAGAGCTTTCCACTTTCCAGAATTCTTTCATAAATACTACCATATTTTATTTTCACAGTGTATTTTCCATAGATGTAATATGGATTTTATTATACACAGTAGAAAGTTGAGGAAGCTAAGAGAAAAAAAAAAGGCTAAATTACTGCCTAGGATGCTCAGCGAACAGAAAAGCTGGGACTAGAATCTAGGTGCAAGTCAATAGGAGTTGGCTCCAGCACACCACTGTGTTGGAAACACTGTCCATCAGATGCTGATTCTAGCATTTCATCACATGAAGTTACTTATTTAAGGATACTATTCTCTAATATGTCATACCTCTCTAGTTGTTGTGAGTCCTCAGTTGATTGCTTGGTATGCAACATGTTTGGATAAAAATAAGCAGGTATTGAAATGACTTCTAAGGATCCAGACTTCAGTTGCCTATTGAACCTATAAACAGAAGTGGAGGCTTATAACTGAATATTTTATTTGCCAAAATAACATAAATACTCAAGAAGAATTTCCTTATGTATGTCCACATAATATTATTTGAATTATTTCATGATATACCCGATATCAACATTATAAAACTAATACTTTTAAAAATATTTCATTTATAAATTAGTGACAGACATATCAAAACATTAAAATGTACAATATAAAATTAATTTCCCCTTATAAAATTATAGGTATTTCGAATTTTTCAAGTGTACAATCAGATATGTACTCTAACAGATTCAAGATAATAGAACCACTTAGCATAATACAGTAACCACAAAAGAGCAAGATCATTAGAAGATTTAAGTGCTTAATTTTGAGTTTAGTAAAAGTCCTACCAAATAGCAATGTGGCTCCTGAAATCAAACTGCCACAGAAAGAATTGTGACTCTTGTCCACAACTCATTGCAGGAGTATGTATATATTTTAGACTCTATTTTTAAAAGTTAATATTTATAGACCAACAAGGACGTCATTAAAATGCATAAAATATTGCTCACAAAAACTGTAATATAAATCTTGTACCATCAAGGTCAAGAATAGAGACCAGGTAGAGCATTCTAAATGATTTTCCTTTACAGAAAGATAATATGACCATAGAGAGATTTAAATTTAGGCATTATTCATTAAAATGGAGCAGGACAGAGTTTTATATGCACGATCTCAATTACGTACAAAATAGTCCTCGCTTTACACAATTCTGATATGCACGAATTTCAATTACCACATTTTTGTTAAATAACACCAGCCTCCTCCAACAACACTGTTTAAATTTGAGCCATCATGGTATATTAACTGTGAATAATTGTATAAAGCACAAACTTTGCTTCCGGGCTCTTCAGTTCACAAATCACTACATAAACGACAGATGCACATCATCTTCCATCATCGCATCACTTCTCTCCAAGTCTGCTGGTGATTGGTCCCCGTGCATCTGTTACTCAGTTCACTGATAGGCAGCAAAACATGCAGTTCTGTAGCCTCCCTGTTTTCCAGTGGTAAACAAACCCACATGACAGTGAACAAAAATAAATAATCAAGGGAGAGAATTGGCCAACAGATGAACGTGCAGAAAGTGATAATTTGGAAGTGATTCTGGGCGTGATCAGAAGACAGCGGGCTCTGGGAATGTTGAAACCTTTGCTCTCCAGAGACCCTAGACGTGCAGCCACAGGCACTTAGTGAAGGTGAACTTACCTGATACAAGTGAGGAAAAGGAGAAAAGGATTTCCTGTAGGATGTGATGCTGGCAAAGAACTTCATATTAAAGTAACTCTCAGAGATGTTTCATGACGTTGAAATGCAAATGATAAAATGTAGGAGATAATTCAGACTCAAAAAGGGTATATCCTTTATCCAAAGCATAAAAAAGATGTTCGCTCTGAATTTTAAGTTATATGACAAAAAGAAGGCAAACACTACTTAAACTACTTTTGATAAATATTCTAAAGGAAATATCTTATTCTAAATGATTCCCATGTTTTATTTTTATTGAAGTACAGTCAATATAGTTCAATATTATTTTATAATATTATATTTACAATATTATATTCGTTTCAGGTGTACAATATAGTGACTCAATATTTTTATAGATTACACTCCACATAAAGTTATTACAAAATATATTGCTGTACAATATATCCTTGTTGCTTATTTATTTTATATATAGTAATTTGTGTCTTGTAATCCTCTACCTTTATCTCACCCCTTCCCCCTCCCTCTCCCCACTGGTAACCACTAGTTTGTTCTCTGTGAGTCTGTTTGTTTTGTTATATACATTCATCTGTTTTTTAGATCCCAAATATAAGTGATTACATATAGTATTTGTCTTTCTCTAATATTTCACCAAGCATAATACTCTCTAATCCATCCATGTTGTTGCAAATGGCAGAAATCCATCCTTTTTATGGTTGAGTAATATTTCATTATATATATATACACCGCATCTTCTTTATTCATTCATCTGTTGATGGGCACTTGGGTTGCTTCCACATCTTGGCTATTATAAATAATGCTGCTATGAACATTGGGACAGAAATACTTCTCTGAATTAGAATCTTCATTTTCTTCAGACATATACCCAGTGGTAGAATTGCTGGATCATATGGAAGTTCTATTTTTAGTTTTTTAATGAACCTCCATTCTGTTTTCCATACTGGTTGCACCAATTTACAATCCCACCAATAGTGTGCCAGAGTTCCTTTTTCTCTACATCCTCACCAACACTTGTTATTTGTGATCATTTTGAGGATGGCCATTCTCACAGGTGGGAGATGACATCTCATTGTGGTTATGATTTGCATTTCTCTGATGATTATCAATGTTGAGCAATTTTTCAAGTGCCTCCATGTTTTAAATTTCAGTGTACTAAATGAATATTAGCTTTACTGTATTTTTCATTTTTCTATACATTTATAATTGACAGAGTATTAAATACTCTGACAAATGTTAAAGGTTATGGAATAATTGTAATTCTTCCCCAGTGATTGTTAATATCAACTTGCATGCTCTCGCCCTATTGTGCAAATCAAGGATAGCCTGAATATGTATAAAGGTGCACACACACACAGAAGAAAGCATATACTCTGTTAAGTTATGGATGGCATCAAAAGTTCTTGAGATAATGATACCAAAATTACTAGTTGACAAAACTATTAGTTGCCAAAGTTATTAGTTGACTGGAGATTATAATATAAATGTACTTTGTTGCCATTATAAATGAGTGATTTTACCTTATAGAAAAGAGTGGAATGTTTAAAGCTCTAAAGTTTTACATAATGTACATAGTTATATACAGTTTCATATAAGGTTACACATAACCTTAATTGGGTCCCTTAAAAATTATTATAGAGTCTCAAGTTTAGGGCCGACAAAATAAAGAGCAATCCCTCATTACCCCCAAAGAGAAGATCTAGAAAAAATGGTTCATGGCTAAATTAAATATATAAAATGGGTGTGTAAGTGAAAAGTTATACGTGTTTATATTAACTTAGGTACAATCACATAGTTAAAATTGCATATTATATAATGTGCTATTTTTAAATTATGGTTTTATTTAAGTCTCACAAAAAATAAGAGTTTTATACCAACTTTTTATCCTGCATTGTTAAATATCCTTATCATCTCTGGTACTATTTTTTTGAATCATCAGACATAGTTCTCTGGTACACTTGATCTTCAAGCTTAACTAAAATACGGCAACTTCGGAAACTAGTAATGTTGTATATAAACATTGTATAGCAAAACATAAGTATTCTTACACATTCAGTAATATTTTCATTTGTGATCTCCACCAGTAACCACATACTATAATTCTTTTTAAAGTCATCTTCGCAAGATTTGCAATGATATGCTCATAACCCCAGGAGTTATTTGTAAAGCTTTGCCTTCTTTTTAAATGATTCTGTTAAGAATCTCTTATAATGATACCAAACTAGCATAGATTGAAGTCATTTCAGGCTCCAAACAGTGGATTATTATTCAGAATAAAGCAACTGAGGGGAGAGCCTGGAATATGAGAACACTTTAAGGACTCAAGTATAGGGCAACTTTTTTCTGGGGAATCTTCTTTGGGGAAAACTAGACAAACATGGTGTTTTATTCAATCTTGCCCAGCTGTCTCCCTTTACACACATCACCTATTGCCCAGCTGTCTCCCTTTACACACATCACCTACTTCAAGCCTTCTGATCTCAAGTTCATCTACTGCCAATAAATCCCTCATTCTCAATAATACGATTTTATCTCCTTCACAGAGAAAAGAAAAGCCTTTAAGCAGAGAATTCTTTCATTTCACCTTCCTTCCCCAAACTACTTTTTTTCCTACTCCTTCACTCATTCTTATCTCTTTGTTTTAGTCTTAGTCCTGCCTAAATCTCCTTCCATGCATACCTTGCATCCAATTCCCCGTAGACCCTACTCCATCAGCGTCCTCCCTCTTCACTGGAGCACACAGGAAAACACTCAAGTTGCTCCCATCTCAAAACTCCCCAAACATGTCTCCCCTCAAGCGAGTCTGTTTTAACTTTTCTCCCCATCAGTTAGGCTTGTGGAGAAAAGTCTAAGTTTCTACATTTTTTATTATGAAAATTGCCAAAAACACACAAAAGTAGAAATTCAACAAATCCCAAATCACCTGGTTTCAACAATCATTCATTTTTCACCATACTCGTTCATCTATGCAGCCCCCAGTTTTTGCTGAAGTATTTCAAAACAAATCCTGGCCATTCTTATAGGTCGGAGATGACTTCAGTGTGAAAACTATAAACATTCATTTATTTACATAGCTACATGACATTATCACATGCTACAAAACTAAGAACAATTACTTAATAACACATAATACTTAGTTGATATTCACATATCCCCAGTAGTCTAACTAATGGTGGGGGTTGGAGGGTGGGGTGTTCAAAAGAGTATCCACTTAAGTTCCTTACTGTAATTGGTTATCTGTTATTACTTTTTTAAACTTATTGTTTAGACCAGTCACTTTAGTTTTCCTTTCTTTCTCCCCATGCAGCTGTCTTTTTGAAGGAAGTGGGTCAGTAGTCCAACAATGTCCCACATCCTGGAGGTTTGCTCTAGATTGCTTCCTCTATTCACTGTGTATACTCTAAACTGGAGTTTAGTTTAAAAGGCTTGATTAGATTTGACAGAATAAAATTTATATTTTAAGGCAGAATGAGAAAATTTAAGCATACAATTCTCTGTCCCAACCCTCCCTCCTAGCTTGCAATCTGCATCTGTATTACACATTAACCAGACCTCCTCAAAGATGGGAATGCCTGCACAACTGGAAAGATTTTTCCGCCCCTTTCTTCTGATGTAACTTCTTAGATTAGCATCCTTTCCCAACTCTATAAGGGGTCATAGTAACTTATTGCTCACTTTGTATGTACTTACTTGGACTATATTTCTTTAATGAACTTCACTTAGAATATCAGTATGTCATTTTGATGTACAATCCTTGTCTCAAAAATGTATATAACTGTGCATTTGGCTTCTAACAGGTGGAACAGTTCTCAGAGCTTCTGAGAGTCTGTCTCCCGGGTTATAATTCTCAATTTGGCTTGAATTAAGACTCCCTTTTTTCTTCTTAACTTGATTGTTAATTCAATTTTCATCCACAGATTCAAGGTCGTTTTATTTCCTTTTGTTTTGTTTTGTTTTGTTTTTTGGAGGATGGTGGGCAATGACTCCCTACATAATTCCTTCCTGGTGTGTTTCATTTGCATCGTAGCAGGAGGCACAGAATGCCTGACTCTCTAACTTGCAGTGACACTGAAACTAATCAGAGATTCAGGTTAGGGGACTCGATCCCTTTCTGCTGACTGTCCATCTGCTCTCAGCCCACACTCTCAAACTCCTGCTCTGCCCAGTATTGTAGGGCGGGGTCTGTACCCCGCAATCCCAGGCCCCTTACTAGCTAGCTTCCATGAAGTAGGTCCTATGAGAGGAAGTAAGTAACAAGAGACTAGAAGGCAGTAAAAGAGGAGGACATGCTTCCTACACTTGGTTTATGGTGAAATCTCCAGCAGCAGCATGAAGCACAGCTACATCAGCACTGGCAGGAGCAACGGAGTTGGTGGAGGCCCAGCTCTGACGGAGGCGGCACCGTCAGAACCTGCTCCCAGGGCACTGAGCACAGTGCAGCAGCCCGTGCATCCAATGTCAGACCTTGGGGTATAGCCTAACTCCCTTTATGCTTCTCCTGTCTCCTTTCTTCTCCTTTTTCTTCTATCAGCACTTGTAAGCTTTTTTGGCCAATTCTTCGTATTAAATTTTCTCTGTTCCTTCTTTTTGAACTACCAAAAGTCTCCTCTTTGGACACTGACTGGTACACCTTCCTTGTAAAGCTCCCCATCCACCTGTCACTTAGAGATATGCCTGAATCAGTTATGTTTCAAAATGCTGATCTTTTAATTCTATTCATTCTAAAGATACTAGCTGGAATTTTTTTTTTTTACTGGAATAACCTTTCTTCATCCACTAAAGCTATTTGATGAGGAAAAAAAATAAATAAAGTGAAATACTGCTGGCTAAACTAAACATGTCTGTTAGCCAGATTCAGCATGAAGGCCATGTTTGCACCCTACCCTGTAGCACAAATAACATATATTCCTCAGCAAGGCATGTAAGGCCTTTCATGATCTCATCACGGCATGCCTTATCTCCCATCAATCTTTCCTCCTTAATCTCAAACATCTACATTCCAGGATATGCTTACATTCCCCCAAATATAGCACACTCCCCTTTTGGCCCTTCTGCCTTCTCAAGCAATTCTATTTGCCAGGCATCCCCTTCTCCTATCTGCCCAAAGCACATCTACCTATGCTTGGACTCAGCTCAACTATTACTTTCTCAAGAAAGTCCTTCTTGATATCTGCAGGTGGAAGGAAATTCTTCCTCCTCTACCTGTTCTCATGCTGACCTCCTCTGCCATTACAATATCATTCGCTTCCTTGCTCTGATTTGTTTTTACCATCTGCACCGACCACTTGAATGTGAGGATTTGGAAGGCTGGTTCCATTCCACAGCATCGTGCATGTTAGGTAACTTCATATGAGTTCATAGCATGTGCTTGTGCCTCCCTGGTTGCATACAGCAGGAGATTGTAAGCAGAAGCAGCAAAACTAACCTCATACAGTAATGAACACAAGACTTTTTAAAAACAGCCCAGCAGGCTTCTCTCAGAGGCAATGGATTTCATGAGGAACAGATACTATAATAATAACAACATGACAAACATGTATTATCATAGGCAGAGAATGTACAGAATTGGGGGGAAATTGCAAGCTATATTTCATCAAAGTGTAGACAGAACTACAGGTTCTTCCTGCACAGCTGCACTCATTAAAAAGAATATGACTACTAATAAAATTATGTAATTGGACAGAAAATATAGAATAGAAAAATGAAAGAACAATTATTTTTAAATTTATAAGACTGTACTTACTTTTTTGTAATCATGTCAACCACAGATTTTAAATAATCTTCATTACTCTAAAAATAAGAAAAATATTTTTCTGAAACTAAGCATGTCTCATAGATCTACTAATACCTGTAAATCTAGTTCATGTGTGGAATGTCATTACGTCTTAATTTCTAGTGTTTTCACTTTCAGTGAAAGAATTTGAAATATCCATGTGTCTAAAAGATCTTACTGGAACACTGAAAATATTTCATTCTCCCTTGGTCACATATCACTACAAACTACTTATACTTAAAAATTAGTATACAAAAATTTATGTATCTAAAACAGTTTTGTCCTAAAAGGGGGATGGCTTAAAGAATTGCTCTTTTCTGGAAGTGTCTTGATTGTATGAATGTTATATGCAATAAGCTTACTTCAAAATTATACCACATTTTTCCAGATAGTATTTCTCAGCTTGATTCTCAAGTTTTCTTCCATCAACAAACATTTTGTATCTACTCTGCTAGATTAGATGATGGATTCATTTGTAAGTTGCTTTTGCTGACTTATTCTCTCAGGTAATTTTTTTAAAAAAACATAACCTGTGGTATTTACAAGATGTAGCCTCAGGGTCCACAAGCATTGCCAATATAAAATTCTGAAAATTTTTGAATAATAATAGTTCTATTGACAAATCTAAGTATTCTGGAAGGCAACTTTGAATGTATATGGTTAGATTGCTTGTTTATAACTATCAGTCACGATGCAGAAAATCCTATTATAGTACTTCAGGTTCTTAAGATAGCCAAAAATTGAATCACCAGCTATTTCTTGCACAGTGAAATATAGTACTACTAAAGTTATACTTCTTCTTAAGTATTCTATGTTCCATTTTAAAATTTGTCTCCCAATATTTTATTATTGGTCCAAAGATTTTAGGCAGATGTGCACTGTATCAGCAGCAAAGAAATAGACTGCAGTATGTAATACAGGGAAATGTGATACAACATTTTAGAGATTATGTATATGCTTCCAATATTAAGAAAGTAAACTTAGAAAGAATGGTTGTTTAATCTTTTATTTATGTTTTCATATTAGTTTTCCTATTGCTTGTTTGGTTTAGAGTTTTCCTAAAACTGTATTCAAAGAGTAAACTTGCAGTCAAAGATATGTTTATTATAAAAATTCAAACAACAGGGAAAAAATAAAGGACAACAAAGATCCCTTTAATCCAGATTTCCTTTGAATCAGGGACAAATTTTGGTTTTTCAAGCATGAAGGTTAGCTCATTCTCTTTTTCTTTATATATTTCATCTGTCTGTATATCGTCTTTTTCTCTTTCCTTCCTTCCTTCCTTCCTTCCTTCCTTCCTTCCTTCCTTATTTCTACTACATTTTACATAGATAATATTATATGAAATATGATGTTGTACAACTTTTTTCAGTCAATAATATGGTAGGGACATTGTTTTATCTCAGTGAATACAGATATTCATTCTCCTATCAATGGTTACAGATTATTGCAATGTAGATATAAATATTTAGTCAGCCTATTACTGACAGATATTTTGGTTGTTTCTAACAATGCTTTTATAAAACAACAGTGCATTGAAATCCTTGAAATTATTACTTATTGAACACTTACTACATGCGGTCCATCACTGTATATAATGTAAATATATTAGCCAATTTAATGGCCAAAACCACCCTATAACATGGGCAATAGCATCACTATTTTACAGATAAGGAAAGTAGAGCAGAGAGAAGTTAAGCAACTTGTTCAAATTCATGAGCCAGGAAGTGGAGAAGCGGACATTTGAACCTTGGCAATCTAGATCAGAGTCTGTGTCCTCAACTAGTCTACTGTACTGTCATATTTTTATTATTTTGAAATTCTTGACTGATTATCTCCTTAGAGTAACTCCCAAGAATTAAGATTTCTGATTCAAAGGGTAACATATGTTAAATCTGACACATATTGCCAGATTCCCCACCAAAAGGTCTTATGGTGGTAATATTTATACCATACTTTGTAATTTTACATGGCATTAGAGGCAGGACACAAAACTTTGGGGCCATTAGCGAGACACAGATTTGAATCTGCTCTATTAATTACTGGGCAAGCCCCTTACTTTCCTTAAGCTCCAGTTTCTTCATCTGGATACCTACTTTACAGGGATGCAATGCAGATTATAAATAATGTATATAAAAATTGTCCACCATCCTTCAGATATAGAAAGGAGTCTCTCAATTGACAATAGCTACTGTGACTTAACATAAATTATCTCTTGATTCGTGTACCAACCTTTTATTGGGCTGGACAGGTTTTATTACTACAACATCAATTTTAATATTCTGTTTGTAAATATAATTTCTGTACCATATAGTGTGCAGGGCTCCCAGTAATATACTTAACAATACAGTCATATTTCTCCCATTTGGAACCAGTATATTTCCTTTTTAGTTTGACATATTTGATTCTTTTGCAGTGGTACCAAACAAGCATTAAATACATTGTGTGCTATTCAAAAAAAGCATCTATGAATTGCTTTTTTAAATTTAAGAAAAAAATTCAAAATGATACAGTGATTACCATGGAGGAAGAGTATTTAGAGACCAAGGCTGGGAGTGAGGAGAGCTCCTTATTTTCATACATACGTCTGCGACAGAGACAATCACCACGGAGTCCTTCTCTTCTGAAAGAGTCATCCTGGAGACAACAGAGGTCAGCGTTTGCTTCAGGTAACTACGATTTCCTCTGTCAACAGTGGAAATACCCAGTGCAAAAGAAACTGCAAACGTAGGAGCACAAAATCATCATTTCATACTACAGAGAAAACACAATTTAGCATTAATATTTACACTTATTTCTCTGTTTAGGTTAGTTGTATGGTCATCAAAAGTGTTTAAACTCTACTGCAAAACTAATACAAATCACTGTTAATTTTTATCACATATTTCATTTCCTGTTTGAGGAAATTCCAATTTGCAATACGCTGTTAGTTAAAGCATTGGACTCCAAGACATTCTCATGTTGGAGAATTTCAATATGGTGAAAACTAAAACTAGCCACTCTCCATTTAGTACAGTTTTTGTCTAACTGGGTACGAAACTTCACACGTTGGCTGATTCTCTATTCTTCTTCCTACGGAGACAATGGAACCCAAAGTGGGAAAAATACTATGAAATATTTTCATCTGTGAAAAATTGTATAGAGTAATTCCCAAATGATTTGATGGAATGAATCGATGTCCCTAAGTGATTTTTACTGTGTATTAATGACAGGCACCAGGAGAACAGACTCCACATTATTCCACATACATATTAAGGCTCTATTAGTGAAGTCTGTCCAAACTTAATCTTGGCTGCAGCAGCCCCTGGCTGTTTGAGTTTGGTCAAGATTTAGAGCCTCTGCAGCCTCAATTTCTCCATCTTTAAGTTGAGGATAAGGACTTACAGAATAGCTAAGTGAGGAACTCAGAAAATCCTCTTCCTAAAAAGCAATAATAAAACTGGAAAAAAGTTGTCAAACCAATCAGAGCCCTGGACATAACAAACTAAGAGGAATTTATTTAAGAAAAATTATTGAACTTCAGTGAGAACAGTAAGAATCAGTATTTCCCTGATCACTATTCATACTTTCATGTGTTTATTGGCCATTGGGTAGTCTTTTGTGAAATCCCTGTTTAAGATATTGTTAATTTCTCAAGTTGTCTGTATTTTTCTTACTGATTTATTGATGCTCTTTACAGATTCTGAGTATGAACCCTTTGTTAGTTACATGTATTACAAATATTCCCCACCATGAGTTCAATGTTTTACCTTTCAAAATTAAGAGCAGAAAGTCTTAATTTTAATATTGTATAATTTATCAATCATTTCCTTTATAGTTAGTGCTTTTTGATTCCTGTTGAGAAATCTTTGCTTATCTTCAAGTCATAAAGATGTTTTCCTGAATATTTCCTAGATGATTTATTGTTTAGCCTTTTAAATTTAGATTTACAATCCACCTGGAACAGATTTTTATGAATGGTGTGAGCCAGAAGTTAAGTCTCAAGCTTCAGGACCCACTCTCAAATGATTCCTGGAATGGCTTCCCCCAGCTTAAGATAAGGAATACATTTGCAAAGGTCTGTAAAGCTTTCAGTGACCTGGTCCTGACCTACCTCCTCCACCCACTTTCCAAAACAGTCTTCTTCAGTGTCTTTTAGCTTCTCAAACTCACCAGACCCCACTTCTCATCTCCAGTCCTCTGCATATGCCTTTCCTTGTTGCCAGAACACTCTCCTGGATCCCTGATGCTAAACCATGTCTTCTGGCACCCTCTTCCCAACACAGTTGGCTTGTCAGAAGCATGTGACATAGATCAGCATTGCTTATTCCCAAGGAGTGCCTAAAGCAGAGGTCAGCACACTTTGTCTATGAAGGGCCAGATGGTAAACATTTTTGGCTCTCAGGCCGTATCATCTCTGTTGCAACTACTCATCTCTGCTGATGTAGCATGAAAGCAGCCACAGGAAATAGGTGAACAACAAGCATAATCTCAGTCCAACAAAAGTGTATTTAAAAACAGGCAGATTTGGCCTGTGCATTCTAGTTTGCTGACCTTTGGCAGAGAGTGACTCGCTCATTGGACTGAAATAGGTTTGTGGGAATGGCAGGTGTTCTGAGACTTAGCCTGACAGCACTGCTTCTAACGAAAATGCTTTTTCTCTTCTATACTTGGTGAACTTGAACTCATTTTTCAAGGCTTAGCTCAATCATCATCTCTTCAGTAAAGCTTTTGCTGACTTTGGTCTTCAGAGAGATGGAGAAATAAAAAGATAACCAGATAAGAAATAGATTTATCAAAACCAAGGGAGAAGTAAGTTGCCAAGTGCTCAGCAGATGGTTAATGTACGTTTGGCTTATACTGACTTATTTTCAAAGCATCTATATTAAAATTAAATTTAAATTCATCTCCAAATATTTACTGAACAATTTTTTTCTGCCAGACAATATACTGATTTCTAGTAATCCAAATTAATGCCAGACAGGCTTGTATATATCAATCTGAGTATCATATTAATAGATTACATTTTAAAACTTAAAAGGATATTCCCAAAGATCAAAATATCTGTATTTGATTTTCCAGTTCTAAGTTCACTTACCACCTGTTTTCTCTTTGCCAGTGATTACATCAGGATAAATTCTGCCTACTTTCCTTAGATGGGGGAAAAAGAACTTCAGGACTTCAAATGCATTAGGGGCTGTTTCATTCCTATCCAATGCATTCACTTTCTTCTTAACTGAAAGAGAGGAAAAATAGGGTTTCTGAGTTCATGACTAAAGGGATTCTTCTTCTTCTGGTACAATTTTTTAAAATGAGGATGAATAAATTATCACAGATTAATTTCATATTCAATATATAAGATAAATACTATTAAATGTGAATTATCAAAATCATAAGACTACAAAATATAGCTCAAAGATTATTAATTCATATTTACTTTAAAAGTACTATTTAATTTAAGTCTCACACACTGAGTAACAACCAGAGGCTAACAGAACTAACAGTTCCAAACGAAGGATGCAGAACTGAAACATGCTCTAACTGGCCTGCTCTCCTACTTTGATTAATATCACATCATTAAAGTTTGTCTCTTCATAACTTTGTTTTGTAGCCCCTCAACATTTAATGATTTCTTTGGTACCATTCATTTGAATTTGCCCCCATAATTCTGAAAAAGAGGAACAAAGTTGGAGTGCTCACACTACCCAATTTAATTCATAATACATAGTACAGTAATCAAGACTGTGTGGTATTAAAGAACAAACAGAAACATAGACAAATGGAACAGAACAGAGATCCAGACACAGATCCACACAAATATGGGCAATCGATTTTTGAAAAAAGCACAAAGGCAATTCAATACAGAAGGGACCTTTTTGACAAATGGTGCTAAAACACATGGACACCCACATGAAAAAGACTGAATCTTGACCTATACTTCAGGCCATTTATAAAAATGAACTCAAAAGTTTCGTAGACCTAAATGCAAAATCTTAAACTATAAATGAAAAGAAAAGAAAAGAAAAGAAAAGAAAATCTTTATTGACCCTGTTCTAGGTAAAGTTCTTAGATACAACACCAAAAGCATAATATATAAAAAGGAAAACTGGTAAACTGGACTTCATCAAAATTATAATTGTCTGCTCTTTGAAGGATACCATGAGAAGCCACAGACTGGGAGAAAATATTCCCAAATCACAAATCCATCTGATACATGTCCAGGATATACATAGAACTCTCAAAACTCAACAACAAGGAAAAAATTCACCTAATTAAAAAATGTGCAACATATTTGAACAGGCATCTCACCAAAGAAGATATATGGATGGCAAATAAGCACATAAAGATGCTCCACATCTTTAATTTCCAGAGAAATACAACTTAATATGAGATACCATGACATTAGAATGACTATAATTAACTGGAGTGACTAACTCTCACACATTGCTGCAAGGAAGGCAGAACGGTGCAGCCATTCTGGAAAACAGTTTGGCAGACTCTTATAATGTTAAACGTACACCTACTATATTCCTATCAATCCTAGATACTTATCCTAAAGAAATGAAAATTCCCTTCATATAAAAAATGTGTACATGATTGCTTATGGCAACAGGTATCATCAAAAAACAAAACAAACAAAAACCCCAAATACAATCCAGATGTCTCTCAAATGTTGAAAGGATAAACAACTATCCTTTGCACACCTATACGGAGGAATGTGATTCAGCAAAAACAGGCCACGTAACAACATGAATGAATCTATGCCAATTGAAAGAAGCCAGTCTCAAAGGGTTCCACATGTGTGATTTCACTTGTTTGGCATTCTGGAAAATGGAAAGCTATAGGAATAGAGAACTGATCAGTTGTGGCTGCCGGGGTTGAGCGTAGGGGGAGGTATTACAGGGAGCGAAGCAGGAGGCAGGACTTCTAGAGAAATGGGCAGCCACTGAAGTTTGATATATAGGACAGTGTAGCCTTCATTTTGGCTATAATGAGAGTAAATAGGTGGGGACAGGTTGGAGAGAGAGGAAAAAAATGGAAGTATGTTAACAATTATTCAGATGAAGCACAAAGGTGGCTTGACTAGGGTAGTAGAGATGGTGATAGGAAAATGTGGACAGACTTGTGAGATACATAGGATTATGAGTCAACAGGATTGCTTACTGACTGCCCTGGAAGTATTTAGAGGGAGAAGGATTCAGAGAAGATGCTCAGGTTTCTGGGTGCGGCCATTGGATGGATCACAGATGGTGCTGCAATTCACAGAGACAGAAAACACAGGAAAATCATTTTCGAAGTAGAGATGAGAGGAAGTTCATCAGTGATGTCTCTTATCTGACTTTTGCATGTCTCACAGTAAAAGTATGAGTAGTGATTTAGTTATACTTATTGGGAAGAAATGCCCTAAAATCAGAAAGCATAAAATCTAAATTTCCAAGCACAAAAGATAAAACCAACCAATCACCATATACAAAAGCAAAAACAATACAAACCCGAATTTACTGATATATTTTCTCCTTGTGTGATTTCATATTTGATTTTATTCAAGGCTTTAATCAGCTCTTGGCGATTTCTTTCAGTTCTGTTTTTTAAACGTAGTATACCTTCCTTAAGCTCCAAAATACGGTTTCTACAATTAATTAATTGATTACCTACAAAGAAAACATATATGTATATACATTTATATGTAGTAATGGTATCATACAGTTTTCTATAATATATAACAAATGTAAAATATATGCTTCAATATAACTATGGATATTTATATAGCACTATATATATATATATATATATTCTGGAGAAAAGAGTAAAATGTTAAAAAATAGTAATATCCGGAAGGTGGGAATTATCAATGGTTTTTGCTTTATTACTTTGTGCTTTTCTATGCTTTCCAAATTTCCCATTTTGTGCATGTATTAGATTTGTAATTAGAGGGAAAAACCAGTTGAGAGAAAAAATTCACTTCTAAGAATTTTCCTGAAGAAAATGACCAGAAATATGTACACAGATTTGGCTCTAAGGATGTTCAACACAGGCAGCATTATTTTTCATTGTAAGAAAACTGAAAATAACCTAAATGCCCAATGATGGAACTATGCTAAATAAATTACAGAATGTCCTTTTAAGAGTTCTGGTGGCTCTCGTGTTAAATCACATGTAAGTGACTCCCAGTTTTGCCACTTATTTGTGTGACCTTGGGCAAGCTACTTAATTTGTTAGCCTCTCTTCCTTCAGGTGTAAATGGATATATAAAAATCCCTGCTGCAGAGCTGTTGGGAAGTGGTAATGCTATTATATACATAAACCATACGGCAAAGCATACGAGAAAAAAATGCTTCAACAAACGTCTAATAAATGTTATTTATCAATGGACTACTCTTTATTCATTTATCAATTAAATACTATGGAGCTATGAAAATCACCTTGTAGAAGAATACTTAATGTAAAACAATTGCTTTTTAAAAACAAAATAATAAAATAATTTCCTTTTTGCAAAAAAATACATTCATAGAGTAAAAAAAGAGTAAGTGTACAAATTTATCTTTTGTTAATATATAATCTTTGGTTTGTTGAATCACTTTTTATTTCCTATTTTCACAAAATTCTTTTGTTTCCAAAATCAGGTTGCATTGCTTCTGTAATCAGAAAAAATTTGATAAATTAAAAAATTAAACACCTTTTATTTACCAACTACTCTTTGTCAATGGAAATACAGAAATAAGTAAGATATGGTCAGTTCTAGCCTTTAGGAAGTTTATAGGCTAAGTGGTAGAACTAACTTAATTGGTAATTTAAACCAATGTGATATTTCTGATGTTATAGATTCCCTGCTTGGGTTTTAACTAATTAAACACATACACTGGTAACACCAGCACCAAATAGGGACTATCAGCTTTATTTGGGGCTCTCTGATAATAGACATATTGCAGAGTGCACTGGGATTGTCCTAATTCCCCACCCAAGTTAACTTACCCCTACTCCCACCCCATTATTGAAAGAGGAGCTGGACAACAGTGGGGCCACATCCACAAAGGGGATGACTTGCCACCTGTGCTAACTACTTTGGGAGGGAAAAGTAAAGAGGGAGTCTGGCCCTTCTTTTAGAAAGTACGTAGGACAGATATTGTAACAAAAAGAGCCAGAGATGGCCCAAGTTGCCTTTTTAAGGAAGTGATTCTGCCTCCTTGTTAATTTGACCCACAGAAGTCAAGTCTGACCAATCTCACCATTCAGATGAATCTCCTAGTCTTCTGAGATTGGTAATGAGCTACTGGGTAAAGTTCCAAGTGTTCACTTTAAAATGCCCTCTCTAGGAGGATGGAATGAAAGATATCCCCTTGAAGGAAATATAGCCCTGCAGAACAAGGTTTCAACCCCTGGTGTGCAGTGACAATAGTATTCACAGAAGACAGAAACTAGATGTATGTATATGTATGACTGAAACATGCTGTACACCAGTTTGACACATTGTAGCTGACGAAACTTCAATTTTTCAAAAAGTGTACAAATTTTGTAGTCCTTTCCATAGTACAAATTTACTTTAATAGAAAGAAAATGGAGTCACTCTTTGCCCCCCGCCAAGTTCTTTTTTTCAGATGACTTTACATACCTTGGAATGCCACTACAGACTGTCACAGGAACAACTCACTCAATGGAGAAGCACAGCAGAAGACTATTAGGTGGGACACATCCTTTAGAAAGATCATTCTGGTGACCACGCAGAAGATTCTTTCAGGGAGGCAAAACTAAAGCCAGAGAAATTACCCATTGGGAACCTACAGTGACATTAGTTCCAAGTGAGAGATGATAAAGAATAAACCAGGGCAGAAAGGATCAGGAAGCAGGAGATGGATATGAGAGATGTCTGAGAACTCTTCTTGGAAAGACTCAGCAACTGTCTGAGAGTGAAGAGATTAGAACCCCTGCTAGACTTCCGGCGTGACTCTAGATTTCTAATCTGGTGTTCAATCTGGATCGGCACACAGGAAAGGGAGCAGGGCCAGAGGGGCATCCAAATGTGTGGCAAATACATGGCTCAGAAAAAATGAGGGCACAAAGTGGCTTCCAACCTCGGTTGCTTTGTTGAAATATGGAACATCTAATTAGAGAAGCAATACCTGGGTTAAAATTTTAGAAAACAACACAGAAAAGAAAAAAAATCCATTGTTATCCCACTGCTCAAAGAGAACCACTATTAATGTTTAGCTTTATGTGGTTCTAGATTGTGCTTCTTTTCCCTCCTGCTTTGGCATATAAATGTCAAATATAATAATGCAGAGGGAAAAAAACATTAGGTTAGGTACAGTGGTTCATTTTATGTTGAAAAAGGCATAATCTATGATGAAAACAAAGTAACTGTTAGTGAAACATCAAAATATATACAGAAAAAACTATTCAGAGACACAAGAATATGGGAAATTATATTATTATTCACAAGGAAAGCACAGAAATTGGCTGTCAATTTTGGGTGGAATAAAAATAAATTCACTGGTTGGAAGACAATAAATTTCAGATGGATTGTTTTAATTAAGGTAAAATATAAAAACATGAAAGGAATGATGATATGTTTGAGCTGAAACATTTAATATTTTTTCACTCATCTGCCAAGAACACACATATGTGCAACCTGTGCCAAAGACTGGATGATGCCAGGGCCCTGCTCAAAACCCTCCAGAGATTTCCCGTCACACTTAGACAAACTGCCAAAGCCCTCACCATGCCAGAGCCTACCTGCCCGGGGCCTTGGCTCTCTCTGCCTCATCCCCCACCCCTCCTACCTCACTCTGGGGGCAGCTCCAGCCACACTGGCTCCATGCTGTTCCTCACGCCAGCCACTCTCCCACCTCAGCACTTCAGCTTTTGCAGTGTTCTCAGCTCACCCCCCCAGATACAGATCCGGTCAGCGCTCCTTAATTTCATTCAGTTTTCTGTGAAAACTTTACCTACTCACAGAAGCCTACCTTGCCACCCTACGTGAAACACAGCACTCTCCCTCTCTTCTTTTTCTTTTTCAGATCACTTATCACTCCCTGACTTCTATTACGTATTTACCGTTTTTATGTCTCTCTCCAGAGCACTCTGGAATTTCAGCTTGAGAACACCAAGAACTCTGTTTTTTTTGGTACAAAATTCCCAATGCCTGAAACAGTGGCAGGGATACAGCTTCTACACAAACATATGCAGAATGAATGAATAAACAAATTAATGAATAAATGGATTTGCCCAGATAGGAACTGATGTGAATGATTCTAAAACCGCATCACGCTTTAATCAAAAGAACTGCAACTATCCCAGGTAAATCTTGAATATTCATGCAGTGAATATTGTTTGAGGATGCTTAAAATTTTTACAGTGGGTGTGGTTTAGCCAGTATAGCCCTGTTACTGGGGTTTCCAGGGTAATGTTCTCTTTGCAAAATGGGTCATGTGTTTGGAGTTGATATATCATGGATGATGCAACATATCTGGACTTCCACAATGTAAGTCAGTCCTTGAGGGATCAATTTGGTAAACATGAGAAGAGTTTTCTCTAGAGGAAGTAGTATTTTCAGAAACAACTATACAAAAATAATAAAGGACATAATCTCTAGTCGTGTATCTGCTTCTTGTACATTTTTACCTGATAATTCATAAGTGTTCTATTTAAAACATATTATTTGCATATTCACTCAGGTATTTCGTGAGGATGAAATGATACAAGATTATTTTGCAAAAGTTTGAAAAATTAGGTGTTTTGAGTCAATTGTGGTGAAACTGTGAAAACAAACACCAGCCCATGTGTACAATGGGCCAATGTCACTTCCACCCATAAAAAGGGGGGCAGGTAAGATCTCAAGTACCACTGACCTTTCCTTCTCATAGCAGAGGTCCAAGGCACTGTTCCCCAGTGTAAATAAAATGCAAGCCACATTTGTAATTTAAAATTTTCTAGTAGCCACATTAAAAAAAAAACAAAAAGAAACAAATAAAAGTAATTGTAAATAGTATAAGTAATGTAATCAATATATCTAAAATATTTTTCAACATGTAATCAACATAAAATAATTAATAGAATAGCTTTTTTGTTCTAAGTATTCTAAATCCTGTGTATATTTTATACTTTTCTAGTATATCTTAACTCAGATGCTCAAATTTGATAGTTACAGTAAAAATGCAGTCTTACCAAAACAATAAAATTTTGCTTAATGGAGAAATATTTTGTACTGCTTCCATTTTAAAATTCAAGGTACATAAAATAAAATAAAATAAAATAAAATAAAATAAAATAACATAACATAACATAACTTAGTTCCCCAGCTGTACTAACTGTATTCCAAGTGCTCGATAACCACTTGACTAGGGGTGACCATATGGGACAGCATGGGTCTGTGGCACCAGCTGCGAGCTCATTAGAAATGCAGGATCTCAGGCCTCACCCCAGACCTACTGAGTCAGAATCTGTATTTTAATAAGATTCACAGGTGATTGGTATGCACGTTAAAACTTGAGAAGCACCATCAAAGACCCCTTTAACTATTTTATCTTTCTCATCATTCACTTTACCATAGTTCAAGTCTTTATTGCCTCTAGATGCACTGTTATAATTGCTTCTTAATTAGTCTCTCACCTCCAATCCACAATTAATCTTCTGGAAACACTGCTCAGAGGCTTTAAAAGATTCCCTGGGTGCTTACTGAATAAAATCAAAACACTTGCCTTAATACAGGAGGCCCCATAAAGTATGGCCGCGACCTGACTTTTCACACTATTTCATTGACTAAACACCTCCAGCAATGAGAAGCAAGCTGTGGTAGTCATGCTTTCTTCCATTTAATATTCACCATGTGTCACTCACTGTGTTGTGTGATAGGTGAACAAACATGGATAAAGTCAAGTTTCTGCTCAAAATTAACTGACAACCAGGCTGCAAGGGATGAGAAAGGAGCATATATTTAAACAATTAATTATAAAGTAATTGTTAAAATGGAACTATACTCAAGTGCCACAGGCAAAGGGAGGTAGGAATGATTAATTCTTAAGCAGGACTAAAGAGTCGGGGAGGGTGATGGGAAAGGTTTCAGAGAAGAGGGAATATTTGAGAATTTGAAGAATATATAGAATTTTGCATACAGCAAAAGGCAGAAAAGGGCATTCCAGGCTAAGAAAACAACAACATGAATGCATAAGTATAAAATAGTATGGTGTATCAAGGGGAAAGCAAGTCCTTAACTCAGGGGATAGAAAGGAGGGGAAACAGCATTGAGTTCAAATATTGGCCCACTTTAAACATATTATTCATCTATTTGTATACTCAATATGGTTCCAAAAAAAGAATATCTGAGGTAATTGTTAGCAGAGGAAGCTGCCAGATTACACCCCTCCACGTATACTTTGCAATAATCAAATCATATACCACACCCTATAAACTATATACCACACCCCTTAAACGTCCTACAAATGGTTCCTCTATGCGTTTGTTTTATGGTGAAATATTTCAACATTACAAAGAGTATTGATGACCTAAAACAAACAGACTGCTAGTTATTTCTCCAGCAAAAAAAAAAAAAAAAAGAGGGGGGACATTTATTCAGTATCAGCAGAGAATTGCAATTCAGAGTCTACAGCCATTGCAAATCATGTGTCAAGTCCCCCCACAGAGAAGGAAGGAGCATGCTTTTATAGAGGGGAAAGGAAGTTGGGAGGGCAGTAGTAAACAAAGGGTCTGTGGCTTTCCATTGACTGAGGCCTTGCCAGGAAAAAAGAGGAATCTTCTTTCTTCCTGTCAGGCTCTACTATTGTCACAGGGTATGAGAGCCCTTCCTTTTGGTCACCTCTATTTGATTGAGATTTCTATTTATTAATTTTTTACAGTACATAAAAGTTTGAAAGACAATAATAAAAATGAACATCTATGAAACTTCTACTACCCTAGCCTTAGATATTTTATCTATCTCCTTCCAAAGTCAAATTCCCCTTCCTCCCCACTCCCAAATAAGTGGAATTCTGAATTTTGTATTAACAATGTGTTGTTCTTCTTTAAAGTTTTACCAGTTCTGCAAGCTGACTCATATTTGGTTTTAGACATTAATAAATAAAACACATGTATTTTTATTCTTTTATGTATTTAATTCTTTTGCTCAATTTATGTTCTGAAATTAATCTATGTCAACAAGTCAAGCTCCAGTTCATTCATTATTTTACTGTAAAATGTTTCACTGATTTGAATATACAACATCTTTATCACTGTTAATGAAAAATTATTTTTAAATGTTATCAAGAATATTCTGAGAAATCTTGGGAGATCCTCCAGCCCCAAGTGCTCCAGCTGACACCATGAAGATCACAAAATGCAGCAGAGCCCTTCCTGAATTTCCGATTACTAAATCAAGAGTTTAAAAATTTTTTTTAAACTAGTAAGGTTTGGGAAGTTTTACACCAAACAGGGAAAATGTCTGAAAACAGATCATTTTCCTCTCCTGCCATTGCATTTCTTAGAACCACAAGTCTATCCTGTCCCTGTCCAGTAGGGAAAGGAAGACAAAGCTTTTAATTGACTATGAGATGAAAAATTTTAAAAAGAGTGGGACAGAGTCTTTAAAAACAGGAATGAAACTCTTGGAATATCCAGAAGTGACCAAAAGAGGTCTTCAATATTACTATGAATCTATGGTTATCAGAAGGGGGTGTTTGATAGAACACATATGGTCAATTATTGGAAAAATAAGTTATTCATATTTATATCCCAACAAGTTGAAAGCTTTAATAAATCGATTCGCATGTGTATAAGAGTATTAGTCTTCATTTTAAAAGCTTTTTGCAAGATTGATCGTTTCTATATTCTCAGCTGAACTGAATACTATATGCCTCCTATCATTTCAGTTTTCTTGCTTTTGTAATCTCATTATACAAATTCTTTCAATTTTTAAAAATGTTATACATACAAAAGAAAAACATGGAGTACACAGGTAAGCTCTGCAGCATAAACCTTATTATAGTATTAGAATTGATTTCCTAATTATTTTAGAGCTAGATTCCACAGAATCACATACATAGAAAATGAAAATCCTGTTTTAACTGCTCTTTTAAGAGTAGTGTATTCTCAAGAACAGTAGTACCTCATTTTCCAAACTTGAACATACGAAAGACAGGAATATAAACGCTTTGAGGAACCAAACTCTGGGCCATAACTGGAAAACACATCAAAATGATTGTATATATCTCGAAAGTCTACAGTTTCATTATAAGAATACCAACTGTATTAAATGCTTTCTAAGGTTACCAATCTAAATTGCCATCCAAAATTAGTAGAAAAATAAGTTTATTTTTGCTTTCTAATTATGAGTAACAGTTTATTTTTTGTTATAAAAGTGCACGTTAACTGTTCTAAAAGAAAAACACATTTGGGTAATGTTTTTATAGGAAATGAAGAAGAATAAAAGTGTATTAAATGATTGAAATTAGTAGTATAAATCAGATAAATAAATATACATTTCTGGGCTTTGAAACAAATCAGATAAATTTTTGATATTGTGTGTATATGACAAAATTTAGTATTAGAGGACTAAAACATAATTTTAACATTAAGTAGACGACATAAACATTAATTAAAGAACTAAAGCTATCTCCTAAGAACTTAAGTTGATCCTCCATGCTACTAGCAAGATTATTTTGTGTGCATTCTGAGTCATGAAGGTGTTTAATAAGAAGAACGAAAATTTAACACAAAACAACCTGACGACAATCTTGGAAGGCTGGGTTAATATATTTACAGGATTCCTAAGTCTTAAATTCAAAATTCGACTATATGAATGCTACAATGCTTAATATGGACTAGAGTCGAAAGACAAAATATAGGAAACCTAGTTAATTTTGAATTTCAGAAAAACAACTTTTTTAGTATAAATAAATCCTATGCAATTTTCATACTTAAAACTTATTCGCTGTTCATCTGAAATTCAGACTTAACTGGGCAACCTCTATTTTCATTTGCTAAACTGGCAACCCTACAAACAGCAATAAAACTGTGGTGCGTTTCCCAGTGCTCCATGGAAAAAAGTTCAGGTGCTACACCAGTGCTATAAATTGTTGATTCTGTCTCTCTCCGTCACCTTGCCCCTTTTTAACTTCTCAAAAAAACCAAAACAAACAAAAAACTTTAGGGAGCCTTGAAATACTGCTCAAAAATACAATGTAGAATAGGAAAGAGGAAAAAGGAAAGATGCTGGCTGCATAAGAGGAGTTCCTGGAGTCAGACTTTCACGTGTTTCTGGAAACGATGAAGAAGTAGGGCAAAAGCTGGGCCCTGAATGGATCCCTGAACCTTTGGAGGGAAAAAGAGCCCCTGGGCCAAGAGATGGCCAGGAAGCCCCCCAACCCCTAACCGCAGGCCAAGCCGTTAGCGCGCGCACAGGGCGGGAGTCAGCGCCGCCCAGGAGACCAGGGGCGCCCGTTACAGCTTAACTGCTGCCGGACAAGGGCGTGGGGGGCTACATGTGAGAGCCTCTAACAAGAGAGCGGGCGACAGCCGCCAGGTTCCCACGTCCCCCCCTTTTCTCCGACCTGGCCGCCTCGCCTCAGCAGTCCCGGAGCCCTGAAGCCCGGGAGGCGAGAAAGAAGGCGGGAGAAGCCACGCGCCACTTAACTGGTTTGAGTCATCCTGGAGATGCAGAAGCAGGAGAAACTGAAGAGCACAACGGCGACGAGCGCTATCAACAAGTTCACGTGCCTGGTCCTCATTGAGCTGGCCGGGCGGGCGGGAGCCGGCAGCGGAGCTCGGGGCGGAGCAGACACGCAGTGTCGGCGCCGTGGAGGACAGGCCCGCGCCGCGCCTGTGCCCCGGGACGCGCGCCCCCGCGCCCCCCCACCCCGTGCGCCCAGGGACTCCAGCATGCACGCCCTCTAGGAGCTCCCCTCACAGAACTTCGGCACCATTTGCCTCCTCTCCTATGGCTCAGCCCTTAGACTCCTGAACCACTCGCCAGACCCGCTATTAAATGAGATAAACTATGGGAAAGCTCCCCACTGCCTGGCTCGAGGTGAGTGGCTCAGTAACTTTATTGTCCTGAAGTAGGAAGAGATTCCTGTGCCAGACTCTGGGCTAAACAGTTTGCATGTATTATCTCAAGCCCTCACAACTAGCCAGTTTTTTTTTTTTTCAAGTATAAAATGAAGATAACAATAGCATTGTAAATTGAGCCACAGTGAAGTGAGCTACTTGCTGCAGGTTGCACAGCTGAAAGTGGTTCCTCTACAAACCTTGTCCATAGATGAGAAGTGCCTAAAGAAAATGCCTTTACTTGAAGGTTACTAGCCTTAAATGGTAGCTATCAAATGCCCAAATGACTTAGGAGACTTTGTGCGTGTGCGTGTGCGTGTGCGTGTGTGTGTGTGTGTGTGTGTGTGTGTGTGTGTGTTGGGGGGTGGGGGGGCGGCAAGCTGAAACCTTCAGCTTAATCCCCTTACCTTTATTTTTTAACTTTTGGTAGTCCCTCCCCCAGGAAAGGAGCAGGGAGTCAACTTTGTGAAAGAAAAGAGTTATAAATAAATATTAAACTATATGAACGCCAAAATGCTATGTTGTAAAGTTGTTGGTGAGCGGCATCCCAAGCCAAGTTCGAGGGGTCAGTTTCTCAGACCTTTACCCAAGGCTGAACGTCAGTAGGGTGATACTCTCTTCTGCCAGCTTGAACATGGTTTGTTATCTGGCTTCTCTGCTCTGATTACTCTTCTTACTTAGGACTCCCTGGCAGTGTCTGGTAACAAGCATTCTACTTCAAATCAGCACTGCACCACTGGCTGGCCTAGTTTCTGGCCCCAGGAGAAGAGAAAAGATTTGAATACACTGAATACAATGCCAGCCTGAGGATGCCAATATAAGCTGTATTTTCTCATGAGCTAACAGCCTGGAGCTGTGGCCTGCAGTTGAGCAGTGACCCAGCCAGAACCTAAAAGAGGAAATGGGAGGAATAAATACTTCAACTTTATTCTCCTTCATCTCTTCAGTCTCTTGACAATGCTTTCCATTGGTTAGGCCCTATTGAAGCCACAGGGAAAGGGATTTTAGCTTGATGTACTGGATCATATGAACCTTCCTCCTGGGGTATGAAGCAGGGTGGAGAAAGATCTACTCTAGTAGACTGAGGTGGGGGAAGGAAGCACAAAAGTATCTCCAAATCAGTATTCTATTGCTCTCTTACTTGAACTCCAGGTTTACATTTTCTGAGGCCATCTCAACACTTCTGCTTGGATGTCCCACATTAAACTCAAGGTGGCCAAACTTCCTCCCCAAACCAGCTATCTTCCCAGAGTCCTTCAACTTTTATCAATTGCACCACCGTTCTTCTGATCAATTTACTCTTTTTCATTGTATCCCATCATTTATAAATCTTTACATCCCTCCTTTGCAATGTCTCATTTTCCAGACTTGCATTTCTCTTGCTCTCTGCTACCCCATTCCCCAGATTCTTATGATGATACTCAAACTGGTAGTACTGTCTGCAGCATTTACCCACTGCAGACCACTCTTCACTCCAATCCCAGGAAATCTTCCCAGTTCACTAGCATTAGCTGTGACTCTTGTTTAAGCAGCTCCACTCTTCCTGGATGATGAAGTTCAATCCATCAGACTGCTCCCTGCTTTCTCAAGATTATTTCCCAATACTCCCTTACATGCCTCAAAGACCTCCACTCTCTTCTTTATTCCACCCTGAACATGTCATGTTAACTCTTCTCTTTCTGTGCCTTTTCTCTTGATGTCTACCCTCTGCCCAGAAGGCCCAGCCTTCTCCCTGACCATTCAACTCTTCCCACATCTCACGGTCTTGCTCAAGTTTTATCTATTTTGTGAATAAAAACATGACTACAACAGAGAAACAAAAGGAAAGCATGGAGATTAAACAATATGTTATTAAAAAACCAATGGGTCAGCGAGGAAATCAAAGCTGAAATTAAAAAATACCTTGAGACAAATGAAAATGAAAGAACAACCATACAAAATTTATGGGGCACAGCAAAGGCTGTGCTAAGAGGGAAGTTTATAGTGATACAGGCCTTCCTCAAAAAAGAAGAACAATCTCAAATAAACAATTTAACCTACCAGCTGAATGAACTAGAAAAAGAACAAAAGACCCCAAAAGGCAGCAGAAGGAAGGAAATTATAAAGATTAGGGATGAAATAAATAAAATACAGATTAAAAAAACATAGAAAAATCAATCAAACCAAAAGCTGGTTTTTTGAAAAACTAAATAAAATCGACAAACCTCTGGCCAAACACACAAAGAAGAAAAAAGAGAGAGCAAAAATTAGTAAAATAAGAAAGGATAATGGAGAAATTACAACATAAAATAGAAATGCGGAGTATCATACGAGAATATTATGAAAAACTATATGGAACCAAACTGGATAACCTAGAGGAGATGGACAAGTTTCTGGAAACATACTGTCCACCAAGACTGAATCAAGAAGAAACTGACCACTTGAACAAATTGATCACTAGAAATGAAATCGAAATAGCAATAAAAAAACCTCCCTGCAAATAAAAGTCCAGGACCAGACAGCTTCACCAGGGAATTCTACCAAACATACAAAGAAGAACTCATACCAGTCCTTCTCAAACTCTTCCAGAAGATTGAAAAGGAGGGAATACTCCTAAACTCATTCTATGAAGCCACCATCACCCTGATACCAAAACCAGGCAAAGACACTACCCAAAAAGAGAATTATAGGCCAATATCACTGATGAACATAGACACCAAAATCCTCACCAGAATATTAGCAAATAGAATCCAACAACACATAAAAAAGATTATACATCATGACCAAGTGGGGTTCATCCCAGA